ATTTCCCTTACTTTCTGAACGAAGGCTTTTCTCGACGAATCCGATGATCTCGTGTCCTTAGACACACCCCATTATAGTTTTCCTCTGTGGCATCATTGGGACGGGAAAGACATTCTCGTTCGCGATCTCACTGATGAAAGAGTAACCCTTTACGACCAGTGAATATTACGCGTCCGACTTAGATTTTGTGAGTACGTTCATCTATCATCCCGTCGACCGCGGATTCGTTATTGAACCTAGGATCATTGTCATTAGTTTCTCGAGTACCTAACTACCACGGTTACTTGTCCGGTTCTATAATAATCGTATTTGCACTAGTCAATGTCTTCTCTATTGCATAACGACGACGTGTAACCCAAACGAAGATTCGTTTCACGCCCCTAACCCTAATTCTACTGTAAACCCGACATATATACTATGGAACATATAAAATATACGAAATTTACAACTATGGAGTATAAAATATATGAAAATTGTATTACTAACTAACAAATTAACAAATATGGATACACCTAAGTGCATTAACACACATATGCACATGTAGATATATAGATAAACAAAATATTATTGTCAAACAAAATCAAAATCAACACATGGAACGTCAGGATACATTTCGCGAAACTTGTCCATACACCAAGAACGTACAACAGGGGAAATTCTTCCCTGACTAGAAGAATGATGACGCAAATGATCATCCAGGACTTCTCTTCAGGAAAGCGAATCTTCGCACAGTCATCTGTATCGTCTTCGTGAACCATTCACGTATCTCTTACGTGATTTTCTCTCCCTCTCCTTCTTCTTGCGCTAGAAGAGGACACAAATAAATATCTACCAAAAAGCGAGCAAGAGACAAATTCAGAATGTAAAATGACATACTTCTACAACTGGATCAGATGCCAAAGACATAGTCGCCTCAGTGTTCATAATTCAAGAAAACCGGAATGCGTATAAAACGAACGTACGCGAAACTTATCCACTTCACACCACCCTCAACAATAGTAAACGAAGCCCACACACAAATACTCAGAGGAGGAAGACTTTATTGAAGAGCACGAACAACGCGTGCTGCACGATCAAGAAATCGGCGGATCAATGGGACAACCGCAGGCGCGCACTGCGTTGCATGCGCGACCGCCCACCACGACATTCTGCGCGACGGTCAGGGGACATTTGCTCATGTAGTGTCGGTGGGAAACTACGAGATTAAGACATGGCATCATTAAGATAGCCGGACAGACGAAACAGCGGCCAAGATAAGACGTCGCACGTGCCGGAGGTATCTTGAACGTTCCCATCAGCATCAGTATAGAAGGTTCTAGAAGCATCGCAGACGAAACTTCAGCAAAAGATAAATAATAGCAGCAGCAACATCCTCTCACATAGGATCGGTAGACTTAGATATAAATAAGCGTAGTGACATAAGGCGAGTTGGTTACTATCTTTATCGTCACCGTCACGCTGTCAGTATATCGTCGTGTTTCTTTACAATCAAATCACGTGTTTAACATTGTACAATTAAAAGTTTATCAAGTGTCTAATCTTCAAAGTTACTATCTTTACCATCACCGTCACGCTGTCAGTCTATTGCCGTGTTTCTTTACAATCAAATCAAGTTTTACATTTGTATAATTAAAATCATTGTATAATTGAAGACTCATTCAGAGTCGAGTTTAGAGTTGTCATTTTGTCAATCGAAGAGTTATACCATCAACCCGTCGATCAATTGCCAATTACTAATCAACCAGTTGGTCTTAGTCGAAATCGAGTTTGTAAAAATTTTATAAGTGTTAATCGCGGCGACCGTTGTGCCGAAATAAGTTGTCAAGATGCCAGCAACCAACGAATTAAATATCCAAGGGCGATCCACCATACACCTACAGTCGTGGTAGGAGCTTTAATTTTATATCCTTCCCTCCGATAAATCTGCGGTTGTACCACACTCGCCATAGAAATAAAGTCTGTATTCAGATAATATTCGAACAAATCTTTAGCATATTATTAATATAAGTCATTCGAACCAAATAAACCTTGTATATCGAAAACGATTATTTATTTCAACAACTTTAATCCTCTCCCGTGTCGGTACTCCTGCACATAGCAGGTTAGCCGAAACGTGGAACTTATTTGCCAGTTACGTTAACGCTAGTTAACGCTATCCATATGTATATAAGTTATTGAATAAAGATCAAGAGAATACAACGAATCAGGCAGGACTGCGCTTCAAGTAGGCGAAACATGTCTGAGATTTCACTCGAATTGTTACAGAGTGCGACGCTTAGATTAACTCGAGATTGCGCTGCGCTTCTGGCGAGCCAATTCCGTTAACTGTTATCAATCGTAAAATACAACGATTTGGAAGCCTTCAGGCAGGAGTACCCTTCGAATAGGCGATACGATTCTGGGATTTTATTTAAGTTGTTACTGAGAGTACGACGCTTGGATTAACTCGAAATTGCGCTGCGCTTCTGGCGAGCCAATTCCGTTAACTCCTACTAGTCGCAAGTTACATCAGCACCCTTAATAATAACAATACAAAAGAAAAGAAAAAAATATTTTGAAATAGTCCTTAGACTATTTCTGGTGGCAGCAACTACCGTATCAATCGGAAATTTCGAATCTAGATTTCAAATCATTGAGAACGTAACAAAATAAAATTTTTTGGTGCCAGCGGTGGGATACGCTCCATATTTTTAAAGTTCTTACGGTTATCGACAAAATATAAATAGAAAATATGGCGACCGCACGAGACTCAGTGAATGAGAATACGCTCTTGACATTGTCAGAAAAATTGAAAACATAGGATGAAAATTTTCGCGTGTTAACCGACATAAACCTAAGACTTGCTAAATTAGAAGAAGACGTGCGTACAAGTAGGGCAACAAACGAAACCGAGATACCTGCATTATCGCCGATAACAACGCGAGAGACGAGATTGACCGATTAAGTTAAAGGCGCGATCGAGTCGGTACCAGTGTTCGACGGACACCGACCGTCTGTATTCAAATTTTTAAGGGAGTGCGAGTGAGCGCGAAATATGGTTCCAAGGCATCAAGAACCTCAGTTGGTAGAATTATTAATGAATAAGCTTCGCGGACACGCGTTTCTCGCCATAGAAGACAGCGAGGTAGGAAGTCTAAACGATTTCGGGAATAAATTAAAAGATATGATCGGCCCAGGAAAAACTGTTAACAAATATATAGGTAAATTAGCAACAGTGTTTCAACGACTGGGGAAAAGATATATTAGATTATATGGACCGCGTCAGAGATCTCAGGCTGGCGATAATGGATGGGGAAAGATGCGAGATATCCCAAGATGTCCAAGATACGATAGATTGGGACACAAGGAAGGATTTTAAGGGGTTAAGGGGTTCCCAAATGAGATGTATTTGCGAGTAAAAGTAGCAGGATACCAATCCCTAGACGGCGCGTACCGCCAAGCCGTGAAAGCAACACAAGAATTGAAACGAGAAAACAACAGAACGCGATACCAACGTCCGACACCTCCGAACTATTACAACCGTAACAACGCTCGTCCCCTGAACAATAATAACAACATCGGGAACAACCACCAGGATCGAAGATTTGTACCGCCATCGCAGAATCACCCAAACGCTCCGAGACGAAATACGATAACCTATAACTATTGCAAAAAACCTGGGCATTTAGTAAAAGATTGTTACAAATTCAAAGCCTAAGTAGACGCTGGGGATAATCGTACCCTATGCATCGGGACAATCGGGAAACGTCCTTCGGGAGAACGGGACGAGCCTCAAAGGAACCATGCTCCGAATCGCCCAAGAGTACAGGCGGCGACAAGAAGACCAGTACCTACAGCGAGGAACAGAATGAATGCAATGCTGGCTGTAAAACCAAAGAAACAACCATCAAATACTATGGGAAACCCATCCTGCAGCCACGCGAAGAAACAAGCAGAGGATAAAAAATTTCAAGACCAAAAAGAAAAGAAAATACAAGGAGTATCGACCAAGAATCACCAAGAGTCGGACTAATATCCGGATTTTTCCAAACCCTTCAAGCTCACGACAAACGCATCAGGATACGCAATAGGCGGAGTATTGAGTCAGGAACTGATTGGGAAGGACTAGCCATTCGCGTATGCCTCTAGACTACTAAACCCCGCAAAACAAAACTATTCTACCATAGAAAAAGAATGTCTAGCAATCGTCTACTGCGCAATGCATTTCAGACCATACCTGTATGGTAGGAAAATTACTATAGTAACAGGCTACAAACCGTTAGTATGGATGAATTCTATTAAGGATCCCACGTCGAGAATTTGGAAATGGAAACTGAAATTATCAGTCTTCGAGTTCGATATCCAATACAAAGAAGGACGAAGAAATGCAAACGCAGATGCATCGTCTAGAAACCCAGGGGTGTGCCTGCCAATCAGGAAGCGAGAAGATGACTCGTCAGATCGATATCCACATTTAAATAGATTTCAATTGGATACCTCAACCGAGGACTCTCCCATATTTGAAGCTAAACCACGCGTCTTGCCTCAGTTCTATGATCCGAGAAAACAAGGAAAAGCCTTTACTCGAAAGCATCTCACCATAGAAGAAACATCCGTAAAATATTTTGACCAAGCATTATCGAAATCGATGTAAACACAGGCAAGGAAGTAGCCGATCAAGAAATAGAGTACATAGGAACAACAAGTGAAGAAGAGCCTTCTACGGCAGATTCTGAACCAACACGGCAACGAGGAGAAGACGCGAGATCTATGACACTTGCAGAACTAAAAATTTCGGAAACGCGAGATTCAGTTACGAGAGTGAATGATCATAAAGTGATATTCGTCGATATACAGGGCGCTCCGATAGATAAAGGAGCTTTAAAAATGATGGAAGCAGGGAAACTGCCGCATTATGAAGATCTAATGTTGGGAAGAGCAAGATTGAATTAAGAATCCGGAAAATACATCGTACCCCTACTCGTAAAGGAAGACCGAAATATTCCTATAATGCCAGAAAATTTATTAAATTCATTGAGATCCTTACTGGACGTAGTAAACGAAAAACAATTAATGTCCTTTAGCATTAGCAAAGGAAATATGGAAGAAATACCCTGGCAACACACAATCAGGAAATTGAAGGAAGTATTTATGGAAAAAACCACAACTATCATCATCTGCACTGGGGAAGTAATCACCCCACCAGTGGAAGCGCGAAGCAACATAATACGAGAGAAACACGAATCATGCGTAGCGGGACACTATTACTGGGAAAACATGAAGAAAGAGATTCAAGAATATGTAAGAACCTGTAGAGAATGTCAGTTAAAGAAACTAACAAGAATAAAGACGGAGCAACCGATGGTGCTCACAGACACACCAGGTAAAGCTTTCGACAAAATTAGTACGGATATCATCGGTTCATTGCCAAAGACACAAAAGGGAAATGAATATATATTAACTATTCAAAATTTATTGACAAAGTATTCGATCGGGATTCCGATGGAAGGGATCTCTACAGCTGAGATAGAGGACGTTTTCGTAAAACGATTCATTTGCCAATTCGGATCACCGAGAGCCATTCTTACCGACCAGGGACCGAACTTTACATCTTCGCTAATGAAGAAAGTAGCAAAGAGATTTCGCATCAAACAATTACACCACGTCGGCATACCATTCACAAAGCAACGGTTCAATTGAAAGATCTCACCACGTGTTAACCGAATATCTCAAGTTATAGATCGAAAATTCCAGAAACTGGGACAAATGGGTGGAATTAGCCATGTTTTCTTATGATACCTCTGTACACGAAGGAACGAAATTCTCCCCGCACGAATTAGTTTTTGAGCACTTGACCAGAGAACCCACTGGTGAAATGATAATCGAAGAGGATATAGAACCAACAAATGCGGAATATCTCAGAGACCTGTTCAATAAAATCAACACCGTGCCAAGAGCCAATGCCAAGAGAAAATTTGATGAAATCCAAGTTAAAATCAAAGGAATATTACGACAGACGAATCAACCCGCAAAATTTCAAAATAGGAGATCTGGTATATCTACTAAAGAAACCTAGCAAAGGAAAATTTTCTGATCAATATACAGGACCGCATAAAGTGTTAGAAATTTTGCAGAATCAAAACGTCAAGATTGAAGTGAAGGGGATTCCGCGTGCAATACACTTGAACAAGTTAAAACTAGCACACAACTGAGACAATAGCCAGAACGACTTCAGGAAGCAACGTAGTATGGTAGTATATAGTATAACGCTGCTTGTCGAATAATGAAGATAGCGGAAACCTAAAAGAAAAAATGGAAATTACTGTGTATTCTGGCCGCTATTTCAATATAAAATGCGTTAATTCAATAAAATAAACAAAGATATTGGAAGAGATTAAAAAGAGAAAAGTACCT